GAGACGGCCCAAGAAAGCCCCAGGAGGGACAAAGAGATCCCCCGCAAGACAACTCAAAACCTTCAAGAGGGCGCCCAGAGGGGCCCAAGAGAGGCCCTGCAAGGGGGACCCGCAGGGACCCCGGGAGCCCCCCCCACAGAATGCCACCCAGGACCCCCAGCATGCCCCCAAGAGGCCCGCAGAGGGTCCCAAAAAGCCCATGAGAGCCTTGTACATGATCGACCCACGAACCCGTAAACGGATTTAGAACTGCAAGGCATGGAAACGTTTCTAAGCACCTCAATTGGGCGATGGGCAGTGGCAATGCTGAAGACATCAACGGTGATGACACTGTGCCAGGGGCTGTGTTGTGATGCTCTGCGCTGTGACGCGCCGCACAGTGGCGTGCCAGGGGACGCGCCACTGAACGTGCCAGAAGACGTGCCAGGGGACGTGCCAACGCGCCGCACGATGTACAAAGGGGACGCGCCACGGGACCTGCCCGAACTGATTCGGATCTTAAGCTCGAGCTGCCTGACGGCCCATGTCGCCCAGAGCTGGCTCAAGTCGAAGGTCGCAGAAGAAACAATCAACTCGAGCTAAAGGTCCGACTCAATTCCGAAGCGGAACGGAACGACACGGGGCGCAGTGCGCATGAACGCGCCACGGAATGTGCCGGGGGCGCACTTGGGGATGCGCCAGGGAACGTGTCAGCGGACGTGGCAAGGGACGCGCCACGGAACGGGCAGGGAAAGCGCCAGGGGACAAGCCAAAGAACGCGACAACGGACGAGCCAGGGGGGCGCGCAGAAGGGGAAGGGGCATACGCCGTCCCGCTCTGGGGCGTTAAGAACCCACGCGTTTCGCTAGTCCCGCTCTAGGGCGTAAGAACCCACGTGTTTCCACGCTTGTCCCGCACTGGGGCGTTGGGAACCAAAATGTTTTCACGCTAGTCCCGCTCTGGGGCATCAAAAACCCGCGTGTGTTCACGCTTGTCCCGCTCTGGGGCGTTAGGAACCCTATTATTTTCACACTAGTCCCGCCCTGGGGCGTTGGGGACCATGTGTTTTCACGCTTGATTCGCCCTGAGGCGTAAGGAACCAATGTGCTTTGACGCATCTCCCGCTGAGGCGTAGAAACCCACGTGTGTTCACGCGTGTCCTGACCTGGGACAGGAGGAACCCACTGTTGTCACGCTTGTCCCGCTCTGAGGCGTTAAACATACACTTGTTGTCGCGCTTGTCCCGCTCTGGGGCGTCAAGAATCCACGTGTGTTCACGCTTGTCCCACTCTGGGGCGTTAGGAACCCTATTATTTTTACGCTTGTCCCGCTCTGGGGCGTTAGGAGCTTGTGTGTCTTCACGCTTGTCCCGCTCTTGGGCGCTGGGAACCCACGTGCTTTGACGCGCTTCCGCATTCCCAAAACCACCTGGGCATCCTGGGGTGCCGAAGCACCTCAAGTTTTGCAAAACGAGCGTTCCGCTCGAATCCTCCTCGACATTTCTTCGCGCAGGACGCGCCATCCTCGAGCGGGTGCACTTTATGTGCTCATTGTTATATATATATATATATATATATATGTGTGAAATGCCTCCAAACCTCGGCATTCATCTCATATTCTGTGCAAAACGCTGTGCATCTTCTTTTTGGGCTAAGGAGAACCGGGGTCTGCGGACCCCGTTATTTACCGAGGATCCGACATGGGGGCGCACGTTCCTCGAGCGGGCACGCGCGAAACGCATATTTGTTTAAAACAGCGTCGTGCCCTGAGTCGCTGTTTGTCCCAAATACTTCCGCCGCCCCACCCCAGGCACCAGGTGGCCACATGTGCACCCTACCTCCACCCCCCAGGAGAGCGAAAAGGGGGAGTGGGACTTCACTCCGTTCGGGAACTCCCGAGCGGAGTGACCCCCACCCACCCTGAAACCGTGGGGTGTCGGGGTAGGGTTCACACGTGGCCATCGAGATAATGCCGCCGCCCCACCCCCAGCATTGCACAGGGAACAGTGGGACACAACTAAAAGAGAACCCTGAGCTTCTGCCCTTTCCAAGAAGAAAACCTCCCAGAGTCCGCCCCCTACGCCTCGCAAACAGGCCCCAAAGAAGCCGCGCAACACACGCCGAGGAAGAGGAGGACGAGAATCAGCAACAACTACACTCAGGCAGTACGACAGGAAATGTCAAGCAACACACACAGACACACACACACACACGCACGCACGCGAAATCAGAAGCCGCACAGGTCCTCTTCTTCGGCGAAATGGCGTAAGCCTCGCGAATCAGATGTAAGGACACCTTGGGCAGGAGCGACTGTTGTAGCCAGAGGGCCCAACAGCATAGTTTGGGCCCCAAGACTTCCCCTGCCACAAACATAGCGAGAGACGAAGAGGGCACTTCAGCTGAAAAGAAGAAGGGAGAACGGCAGGGGTATCAACAATCTTCAAAGGCGACGTACAACAACAATCCGCACTGCGGAACCCCACTTCAGTCGCGATCCCAGGGACGGTGTAAGACCGTTCGTCCCCCTCACTCCGACAGGAGCGGAGAGCATACTTGGAGGAACAACAGAAACATAAACATACGATTTCCAAAGTCCGCGCTGACCTTCGCAAGATCGTGCTTATGCAGTTCCTCTTCTTCGAACGCTTTTGCACTGAGGCTCTCAGCTTGAACGCGAAGAGAACACACCTGCCATCCAAGCACTTGGCAAGGCTGCCCAGTCCGTCAGAGCAGACGGAGCTGGTCAGGGCTGGTACGCCCAAGAACTGGGGGACGCGGCGCATGGACGCTGCGGATTACAAACTGCCTCAAACCAAATTAGCCCGGCTGTACGCGGCCCCGCCGCCCCGGCCAAAAGCCAGGAGGAAGGGGGGGTTGAACCGCCGAGCTCGGGCAGGCTAGCGAACAGCAGAACTCCGGCTTCAAGGCATTCCCATTCGGTCGTCAGGGAAAATCGAAACTACGTCGGATGTGTGCTGACGCTTGCGAAACTGACCTAATCACGGAAGCAAAGAGTACACACAGAAAGTGCATCCAGCCAATCGGCCAGTAAACGGTGACAAAGACCCATCGGCTCGAACATGGCGATGCGGCTTGACAGTGCATGATCGACAGTCCGCAGGTCAGCTATACTCAGACGTCCAGCGCCCCGATTTTCCCCAGCGCGGGCCCCTGGAGGTCCGGACAACCTCCCCGGGGCCGTTTGGTCGTCCTGGGTCGTCGTTCGCGGGTCCCTGGGCCTGTCGAGGGCCCCCCGGAGGCCAAGGACAGCCGAAAACCGACCGCTCCGCTTGTGTGTCGGAGCCCCGGATCTCGGGGTACGGGGGACGCACCTGAGGTACGAGAGGTGCGTCGAAAACGGCGCGGCACACGCGTGACCCAGAAGAACGGTCCAGATTGTCCCAGCTCACTCTTGGAGAGCGCCGCAAACGGATGCGGCTGCTTCGCAGTTGCTGAAGTTCGGAGGTATCGAACATTTACCTCGGGTGCACACGTCCCCCTCGCAGCAGAGAAAGCGTTGTCCATTAGATTGTGATGTGTGTAAGGCTTCGCTCGAGCAGATTTTCCACGGACTGCGGCGCTGCCAGGGACGAATGGGCAGCGACACATTGCAACAGAGGCTCGTATCATCTCACGCCGTTTTGCATGCAGGAGTTGCGGCAAGCATTTAAACGCATGAAGCAGGGCAAATGCACAGATAAACGCGGTATCACCGTTGAAATGTTTACATGCGGTGGCGATACTCTGCACACAGGTCTCCTGGCGTGCTTGAATTCGTTGCTCAACCACAGGCCGCATGGGTCCCACTTGGCAGGAAACGTATTCTATCATGCTTCTGAAGGCGGGCAGCAGACAAGATGTAAAAAAAGACGCCCCACAACGATTTTACGCATCATAAGATTTTGGCCCGCCTGCTTGTTGCACGCTTGCAGCCTGATCTGGAAAGAAGACCAGACGCATGACCGAATAGGACTTCGCCCGGGCCGTTCCGTGGACGGCGCTCTTGTCGTTTTGGACGATGTCTGCACGAGAGCTTGGAAGTGGCAGCTTCCGCTGCGGATCGCTAGCATTGACCTCACAAGAGCGTTCGACAGGCTGGAGCATCACATGCTTTTCCAGGCAGTGTCGGAGCAGGGAGTTCACGCAGAGTACGTGCGGCGTTTGTCAGACATCTACAGCTCCCTATGGAGGAGCGTCAGTGGCAGCACCGCGTTTGACATTACCCGTGGCGTCAAACAAGAGGATGCTTTGTTAGCGTTGCTTTTCAACGCCGGCTTAGAGCATGCAATGCGGAGGTTCAAAGTACGAGCTCAGCAGTATGGCTTCGACGTTGGAGGCGTCGATTTGCTTAGCAAGATGCGGTACGCGGATGATATTTTTCTTTACGACCGTTCTGCCGTAGAGGTTACTCGCATGCTGGGCACTGACTCGGAATAATTGCCAGCGTGCGGCCTGTCACGAAATGCGGACAACACGCGGATTTGTACTAACGATGTTGCTGCTTCCAACGTCGACGAGCCTCTCGTTTTGCAGATTGCTGGCTGCCAATTGCCTGTCATGACGTCCCAGGCGTTCCACAAGTATTTCGGCGGAGGCGATTTTCGGCGCAGATCAGAGTGCAATGTCAACTATCTCATGGAGTGCGCATGGGGCAAAATTCATTTCATCCCTTGAAAGCAGTACTGTCAAACTAAAGCTAAAATATGTGCGCCTTCGCTTGGAGCTTTCTGACACGTTGGTTACGCCCACTGCTGTCTACGGTCTCTCAGCGACCGCCACGACAGCACAGCATGGTTCTATGATTGCATCTTCTCGTTCAAAAATGCTCCGTCGGATAGTCGGTTTCAGCAATCTTCCCGGCGAGAGCCGGGAAGACGCGGGGCGACGATGCAAGCGAAAAGTACGCCTTGCTTTGCAAGGTTTCCCTGTCAGACTTGTTCGTCGTGATGGCCCGTTCCACGAGGCCCCTCGTGGCACGACCTGCCACCAGCGAGACGCCAGAACGGCCCGCGCAAGTGTTACGCTGGCGCCCAGCCGGCCCCCGACGCCGCGGTCGACCGCCGACGCCGCGGTCGACCGCGGCGTCGAGGGCCAGATGGTGTGGATGCGCTGCTGCAACACGAGCGCGGCACGACTCTCGTGGATGCCGTCCGCAGCCATCAGCGTCTCCCTTGGCAGCGATTGAATCATGCATATCTCAATCACGTGTGGTGGCACGCCTGATGCATGACATATTTTGAGCAGACTGTTGTATCAACCACTTCTCTTGCATGCGCGCTTCGTAGCCGCATTGTTTCACGCCCTCCAGCTCCGCTTGCGGAGCGAGGGGCCTCCGCGGGCTCCTCGACTGGACTTGACTTGACTTGGGCAGGGAGGATTCCAAAGGCCTCGACAGCGGCCCGCGTTGAGAGCCTGAGAAGTCAAGCAGACAGGAAACTCGGGAAGCACTGACTCGAATGAAGAATCTCAGAATGAGGCGCGTGGATCTGGCAGCCTTGCTGGAGGCCTCCCAAATGAGGCCGACAGCCGATGCGGTCGGAGGATCGCACCGCATCGCCAAGGCATCTGCGATGCAGCGCGATCCTCCGACTACCCTGGGGAAACCAAAAAAGACACCGATACCGCTACTCCCTGGACCTCTCCCAAGGTGCGTTCTAACCAGATGTTCGAGGCGACTCCAGCTGGGGCGACGAGGGCCTCCCAGGAGATCCACAAAGGCGAACCCAGAGATCCGATGTTGCGAAAAATGCAACGTCGCGAAACATCACGAACGGAGCCCGAGACACCATCTTTCTTTGGCATTTTCTGAGCCAGATCGAGCTGTGATGGCCAGGGGCCCAGAACAGGGCGAGATCGCCCGATCTGCAAGAAAGACAGCGCCCGGATCTCGGGGAAAACGAAGGAAGGGTAGCTGCATCGGTACCTGGTTCTCCTCTTATTACTCTGGCCCCGTTTGGAAGGGAACAACTCGCCCAGCTCAGATGAAGCTGCTCACCCCAGCATCCGCGCATGGGCGGGTGAGCTGCCGCCAGGCAGCTCCGCAATCGAACTTCTGGAGCGTGATGCTGACCTTATGGCCGGACGGGGACAGCTTCCAGCTGCACCTAAGCAGCGCTCAGCCGATCCCTATCCCCACCGGCATGGCCTTGACCCCACTGGCCAACTCAAACCCAACTGGGGATATGTGGTGTTTCCTTTTGTTTTCGCGGGGCTTATCCCTACCTAGGGAGGGCGAGCTGGTGGGGCTGAAATACCATGAGAGTCAGGTCGGGCGTGTCCCCTACAGGCGGATGTTGGACGATGTTTTCTTTTAAAGCTCAAAAAAAGCGAAACATCGCCTCCATATCATTTGTTTGACTATTTTTGAATTTTCCTCCTGCAGAGGAGCATGCCCGATTTAACATGAGAAGAAACAACTGCATTAACATAAACAGTTGGAGGTCCGAGCGGATTTCTTGGATCTGCTGTAAGCCCTCTCCCTGGCGCGGTGCGCGCGCCAGGGACGGCGCCCGAAGCGCCGCCTGGGGGGCCTTGCGCAGAGCTGAGACATCCATGCGGACCTCCAAAATCTTACGCCTATGCAAGTTGCTATTCGAACCATGGCCCGGCGAAGATGCGGATAGGTTACAGTGGAGGCCCGACCACAAGAAACCTTCCACAAGAACTCCATCCCTGAGACCCCAGGACGTCCATGGATTTTGGTGTAGGCACGTCGCGCTTTCCATCGCAAAACCAGCGACACCCAAGAAACCCAGGGCACCTTGGGGACAAACAGGGTTTCTCTTGGCATTGGCCTCCACTGTAGGCTAGACGATGCTGAACACCTGCCAGGGTCCACGTCTGCGAAGAGGTGGGCGTGCACGTGCCGGAGGACGACCGGCCGAGACAGCGGCCCCCTCGTCCGTCCCAGACTACCGCTCCCAAAGCCGGCCACCCGACCCCTCTGGGGTCTGATCTTCGGTGACCATTCACGGGAGCCTCCCATAACATCTTGTCTTGCGAGTCGACGCTGGTCGACTCTAATCGACGCTGAACGATGTTGAATCGGCGCTCTCGTCGACTACCACACGCTAATCGACGCGAGTGCATTGGAAAGACAGAACCACGCGGGTATATAAGGCTACAGTGAATTGCTACGGAATCCCACTGCACAATATTTCGAGGCGGATCCAGCCGCGTCGACGAGAAGCCTCCAGGAGGCCCAAAACGGACGCCAAACACCTTAAGATCCGAAGTCACGAAAATTAGCCTGGCGAAGGAACCAATCATTTGCAGTTGTGAGTCCCGAAGTTGTGGTGATCGTCTTCGGGGGAGCTTCCTATGGGGCCCCGAAACGCTGTACTGGGTGGGAGAGGACGCATGCGAACTTTCCCTCTGGGGCCTTCGGTGGAGATCCCTACGGGCTACGAAACGCTGCACGGCGGGGGCGAACTTTGCCACCAGCGCCTTCGGTGGAGCTCCCTATGGGGTAACGAGACGCTGCACTGGGTGGGAGGCATATGGACTTTCAAGGACTCCTATGAATTCCGATGGGTCCCTGAGAATTCCGCATGATTCTTAAGGACTCAGGATTACTAAGGATTCCTAAGGATTCATTCCGAACTGTTCCTCAGGATTCCTAAGGATTCCTGATGACCGCTACGGATTCCTGATGATTCCCACGGATGCCTGGTGAGTCCAATGGATTCCTGATGATCCCTAGGGATTCCTCAAGATTCCGAAGGATCCCTCAGGGTTCCTATGGATGCCGATGGATCCCCAGCGATTCCTCTCCCTTAGAATTCCGATGCCTGCCGAAGGATTCCCAAGGACTCCTCAGAGTTCCTAAGGATGCATAAGGATTCCGATTGATTCCTAATGATCCCCATGTATTCTCAGGAATTCCAAAAAGGATCCCCATGGATCCCCAGGAATTCCTATGGATTCCGATGGTTTCCTGAGGATGCCAAAGGATTCCCCAGGGTCCATATGGATTTTCAAAGATTCCAAAGGATCCCCATGTATGCCGAAGGGTTCCTATGAATCCCTTGGGAGTCCTAAAGATCCCTAAGGGTTCCGAGGGACTCTAGAGTCCTAAGGGCAACTGTGGACTCCAAAGGTTCCTAGGGCGTCCAAATATTGTACAAGGATTCCTCCGGATTCCGAACGATTCCTAAAATGTTCATAAGGATCCATGTGGATGTCTCGGGAGTCCCAAGGGTTCCTAAGGATTCCTAGGGATCCCGAAGGAATCCGATTGATTCCTATGGATTCCTACGTACTCCTAAACATTCCTCAGGATTTCATCTGGATTCTGAAGGATAATTCCTACGGAATCCGATGGATCCTTGAGGCTTCCCATAAGGTCCCAAGGATTCCTGCGGATTCCAAAGGAATCCCAAGGAGTCCGATGGATTCCTTGGGGGTCCTAAGGGGTCCTAAGAATTCCTAAGGATTCCTATGGATCCCGATGGATCCCCAGGGTTTCCTCAGAAGTCCTGAGAATCCCTATGGATTCCTAACGATTCCTAGGGAGTCCTAGGGGGTCAACAGGTTCGCTAAGGGTTCCTCATGATTCCAAAGGGTTCCTACGGATTCCTAAGCAACCCTAGGGAGTCCTGAGAGACCCTAAGGACTCCTGAGGACTCCTAAGGATTCCCAAGAATTCCTAAGGATCCCTGAAAATTCCTCTGGAATCCCAACCTGTGGGCTTCCAGGCATTCGTAAGGAATCTCAAGACTTCCTGAGGACTCCAAGGGAGTCCGATGGATTCCTATGGATTCCTAAGGACTCCTAAGGACTCCGTCGGGTTCCTAAGGATTCCCCCGGATTCCAAAGGATCCCTAATGATTCCTAGGGATAGGGAGCGCGAGGGATCCCTCGGGCTCCCTAAGGGTTCCTCAGGATCCCGAGGATTCCTTATGATTCCTACGGATTCCTCAGGGTTCCTATGGATTTCTAAACGAAAAACTGAAGATTACCATGGATTCCTTAGGGTTCCGAGGGATTCCTAAGGACTCCTAAAAATTCCAAAGTTTCTCTGTTGCGTTGTTGTTGTTGAACTCTCACTACTGAGAAATAATTAGTGTTGATCCCCTTTCTGGTGCTCCTTGTACTTTTCAATTGAAAAGCCCCTCCCGGCGCTCGCACCTTGTTTTTTTTTATCACGGAAAGTCTTGAGGCTCAAAATCTGCCCCTGACCCCCGGTTTACAACATCAACGGCTCCCGCTTGATACTTCCTCGAAATTTACTCTGGTCCCCCGCTCCCGCTTGAGATTTCCTCGCAGTTTACTCTCAAGAATCGCGTTCCCGCTTGAGACTTCCTCGCAATTTCCTCAGGCTCCGCGCTCATGCCATTCAGGAATCGCGCGTTCGCTGGGGACTTCCTCTAATTTACTGAGATATCTCTCTCGCGCTGGCAACTTCCTGGCTAATCACACAGAAGTCAAGATCGATCCGCCCGCTCGGCCCGCCTGTCAGGGTAGTGCCCTTCGTGCCCCATGCTCGCTCGCGCCCGTTGTGCCTCATTGCTGCCCTTCGTGGTCCCTCCCCTTGTGGCCCAGTCGCTGCCCTTCGTGGCCCCGATGCTGCCCTCAGTGGCCCCTCGCTGCCCTGAGTGGCCCATGTATATATATATATATATATATATATATATATACATACATACATACATACATACATACATACATACATACATACATACATACATGCATATACACATATATATACACGGTCTCCCCTCTGTCCCTGTTTTAGGGGCTGCGCCGCGCCAACTGCACGTGCCAAGCAATAAAGATGTACCCGAACGCTCTCGCCTGAGACTTCCCCACAATTCATTCAGGACTCACGCTTTGATCCGCCCGCTGGACTCGCCCGTCAGGGCCGCCCGCCTGACTTGCCTGTGACGGCAGGCCCGGCGGTTCTGTCGCTCTCTCACTCTCTCTCTCTCTCTCTCTCTCATGTTTCCTTCATCCTCACTCCGCTTGCTCTCTTAGGGGCTACACCCATCACACGTGGCAGGTCAGGAAGATGTACCCCCTGGAAAGGGGTTACGATCAAAGACGAAGAGGGCGGGTGTCGGGGGTTTGGGATATACGTGGTGAGGTACGCGCGAGCAGATAAGAGCGAACGAGTTAAAGTGATTGTTGTTGTTGTTGAGTTATCACTTATGGTTGATCCCCCTCACAAATGCATACGCAGCAGCAACAACAACGGCTCCCGCCTGAGACTTCCTCCAAGTTTACTCAAGACCCCCGCTCCCGCCTGAGAATCAAATTCGCTCAGGATCGGTGCTCCCGCCTATCGCTCCCTCGCAATGTTGGCAGGACCCCCGCTCCCATCTGAGACTTCCTTACAATTTACTCAGGAACGGCGTTCCCGCTTGAGACGCCCTCGCAATTGAACCAAAACTTCCTCGCAAATTAATCAAGACCCCCGCTCCCGCCAGAGAATCCCTCACATGTTATGCAAGAATTGCGTTCTCGCCTGTGACTTCCATGCAATGTATTCAGAGATCGCGCGTTCGACGCTCAGGAAAAACGGTGCGCCAAGGACGCCGCCACAACTTACTTAGGAATCGCGCTCTCGCCATACTCAGGCATCCTGCTTGCACGTCCCACCCGCCCGACCCGCCCGTCAGGGGATCGCCCGCCCGTCGTGGGCTCCCGCCCGAGACTTCCTTCAGGAACGGGGCTTTCGCCTAAGACTTCCTCGAACGTTCGCGCTCTTACCTTCCTGCTCCTCCTCCCTCTCCCTCCTCCCTCCTCTCCTCCCTTCTCTCTCCCTCCTTTCGTCCCTCGTCCTTATGCCTCTCTGCCCTATCCCCTCTCCCCCCTCTCCCTCTTCCCTTCTCCCTCCCCTCTCCTGTCTCCTCCTTCCCTGTTTCTGTCTCTCTCTCTTTCTCTCTTTCTCTCTCTCTCTCTCTCTCTCTCTCTCTCTCTCTCTCTCTCTCTCTATATATATATATATATATATATATATATCCAGTTTCTCGCTCTTTTTTGTTTCTCTCTCTCTCGTTCTCCCTCTCTCTCTCTCTCTCTCTCTCTCTCTCTCCCTCCCTCTCTCTCTACCTCTCTTATATGTATGTATATGTATATGTTTTTTTCTCTCTCTCTCTCTCTCTCTCTCTCTCTCTCTCGGCCTCTAATCAATCGCGCCCTTGTTCGCTCCTTCTCTCCTGGCGGTTCCTTCGTCCCTCCCCCTCCCTTCCTCCCGCTCTCCCTCGTTTTCCCCCTCCTCTTTTTGCAGGGCCCACACCAATTCCAATGGCGGGCACATGTACGCCCACGAAAGATTGTCCGCCCGTTCAGGTTTGCCCACCTGTCTAAGCCCGCCGCCCCCCGCAAAGAGAAAGAATCCCCCCAAAAAAAAGGGGTGTGATCGAAGACGAAAGGGGCGGGTATCGAGGGTGTGGGAAACTCGTTTTGAATGAGACACGGGCAAGTAAGAGCGAACAGTCTTAGAATGATTGATGTTACTGATGTTGGTGCTCCTGTTGTTGTTATTGGTGTTACTGTTGTTGCTGTTGGTGCTGATGTTGTTGCTATTGGTGCTGTTGTGTTGTTGTTGGTGGTGGTGATGTTGTTGTTGCTATTGGTGTTACTGTTGTTGCTGTTGGTGCTGTTGTTCCCTCTCTCCACCCCTACCCCCATACCCCGGGGGTGGGGGCCTGCCCCACCTGCATCAACAACAACAAAAACAACGACAACAACAACAACCACAGCAACAACAGCAACAACCACAACGACAACAATAACAACACCAACCACAACAACAACAACAACAACAACGATAACAACAACAACAACAACAACAACAACACCAACACCAACCACAACCACCACATCAACAACAACCCGAACTAAAACAAACAAAAAACGACAACACAAAGACGAACATCAATCGTGTGACCTTCATGACACGCGGGTTGTCTCGACCGGCCCTCCTCCGCATGTAGCACACGCGGCCGTCCTGGGCCACGGCGTGTATCGCCAGCGCCTGCCGCCCGAACTGGACGTGTGCGTCTTGGAAGGACCGCAGGTCCTCGCCAGGGCTGGACCTAAACGTTGTTGTTATTTTGTTTCCGTGTTGTTTTTCGTTTTGCTCTATCTGTTTTCCTGTACCTCCCTCCCCCAAACAAAAACAAAACACAGCCGAAGTCCAGCAAAACAGCGTTTAGTTCCAGCCCAGGTCCTCGCCACACCCGGCCTCGCTGGCGCATATGTAGACCTGCGTCGGGGGCTGCTGCTTTGGGCCGGCGCTGGGGCGCTGGCCGGTGCGCTGCCATGGGAGTTCCGTGGCAGCTCATGGGAGCCTCCCATAACATCGTGTCGGCTCTTGCGAATCGACACTCGTCGACGCGAGATCGGCGCTGATCGGCGCTGGATCGAGGCTCGCTGGCGCTGACCGGCGCTGAATCGGCGCTATCTCATCGACTCTCAGAAGAGAAGCCCCCCCCTCGTCCTCCTCCTCCTCCTCCTCCTCCTCCTCCTCCTCCTCCTCCTCCTCCTCCTCCTCCTCCTCCTCCTCCTCCTCCTCCTCCTCCTCCTCCTCCTGACAGTTAAATACGAATGCCCCCAATGGGGTCCGAAGGGGGCGAAAAAGGCCACCTTCGCCCTTGTCTGCTGGACAGGACCAGCGCTGGGCCACCTCGGCCCCACCGCCGGCTCCAACGGGGGGGCCAATGAAGTCTGAGACCTGGAAGTGTTGCGCGCAAGCCGTCGCCATGCGATCGCCCGCTGTCCTGGGGCGAAAGCTTTCCCTGGGTGTCCCCGGGCCCGAGTCGCTTTCTGGACATGGTCTCACGCCGTTGTCTCCATCGCCAGCTGTCGAACTCGGTCGCGCACGCGTTGCGCTCTGGCGAATTCTGACCAAGCGTCGTCTCGCTCCGAGGGGGGCTCGACCATCTCCTGCCACCCAGGGAGCCCCAGGGCGTCGTCGGAAAGGAGCTCGTGGGGCAGTCTGGGGCGGCATCCAAAAACCAATTGCAAAGGGGGAATCCCCCTCGGTGCCAGTTGCGGTTCTCGCGCGCCGTTAACTCGCTATTCAGGGAGTCCAGTTCTTCGAGACTGGTGGGAAGCTCCGAACCCGAGTCGATTTCCCCCCTGGATCCGATCCAACCCCCGCGGCGTTCGGCCCCCCCCCGTTCTGCCAGGCACAATGGGCATCCGCAAAATTCTGCAAGACCCCTCGCTGCTCTAACCCCCTGGAGAACTGGTCGTGGAATTCGGGCCCCCCGTCGGCAATCATGACATGGGGGGGGCCGAAGGGGCGCATCCAGGAAGAGACGAACCCGTACCAGACGGCGGAGGCCTTGGCGCCTGACAATCTCACGCACACTTGAAAGTTCGATCCGGTCCACCGCGTTCAAGATGGGAGAGAGAACGCTGGATAATCCCAAGTAAAACAGGTCGACGCCTAGAGTGTGATTGAAGCAGAACGCGCGGGGGAGAGCTGCTCTTCCGCGGTTGTCAGGGCCTCTCCTCTCCTCGCACTCAGTAGCACTCGAAGTTATCTCTGGTCCACCGAAGAGTTCTCGCCTCGGCGCCGCCAGCTCTCAAAGCTCGCACAATATTCCGCAACTCAGGATGCCCCATGTCAACGTGCAACTTCGCGACCAACCTCTGTTCAGCCTCGGTGACCTTCGGAGCCGTCTCCTGCACCGGCTGGCGCCGGCTCTGGCTCGTCGGGGTCAGACTCCGCCCCCTCCTCGCCCGGCTCCTCCGGCGCCTCCAGCGCCGGAAGGGCGAGAGGGGATTGGGCGTCTGGCCCCTCGGACACGCCGCGCCAGGAGGTGGGTGGCGGCGGCCGATCGCTGCTCCAAGTCTCCAAGACGGCCCTAGACATCGCCCGAACAAAACTAGGGGGTGCACTTGAGCTTTCCGAAGAAGCCGGTTCTCAACGATGATGCGTCGGTGGCCCCCGAGACATAGTTGACCCGTCAACTCCTTCTAAATCCTGGGATGGCTCGCGAATATCCCGGTGGATTTCTTGCTGCGCCCGCCCGGGTGCACCTGCAGGTCGCGCGCGCACATGTCCACCCATAGTTCCCGCGCGCTAGGCGGCCGAGCCACGGCGCCGACCACCTCAGCCATCCACGACGCGGCGAAAAGGGAGGTGCTCGAACGCGAAAAATCGGCCTCGCTGGGCCCGATACAGCGCCAGTTCCACGCACGAGGCAAGCGCCTTCAGACCCTCGGAGATCACTCGACTACGGCCCTCTGGAGTCGTCGACGCATGTCGATGTTTTTGAGAGCTGAAAAGGCGCTACATTCGGGGCTGAGCCACATTGTTTGGGGCTCGGTCCTCCGCAGACGTTCACAGCGTTCCTGAAGGCAGTGGTTTGGCCCGAGTCCCGACCCAGCTCCCCGTCGAAGCTCGGGCGATCGCTCAGGACAGCCCCGCGCCTTGCAAGCTCCGAGGAGATCTGGGGCGGCGAGAGCACCTCCACGAAGGTCGCGCGGCACCCCCCCCTCGACTCAGGGGGGGGCCCGAAGCCCTCGAACCCCTCCTCGGGACTGTGCTTTCCGTCGCAGGAAGGATCCGCTCTCTCGGAGAGGAACGGCGCCATTCTGTTTGTCATGGCCTGGGGCGCAGTTACTTCGCGATCGTCGTTAAACTGGTTGCCGTCGACCCAGCCCAGCGAACAAAGGGCGCCCCCTTCGGGGGAGAAGCATGGAAACCGCGGCGGAGGCGGCGGCTCGCCTGCGCGAGGCGGTTGCGCCAGCGGCGGTGGCGAGAGGTTCGCTGGCCCCAGCGCTGGCTTGACTCCAGCGGCGGGGGCTTCGGCAAGGCCCCGGGCGGAAGAAGCTCTGCCGCGGGCTGTCCAGGCCTCTCCGGGCGCTCCTGAGCCGCCCGCGCCGCCGCTGACTGGGCCGCCCACACTGCCGCCTGCGCCTCGCGGTGCGCCCCGGGCAACGGCCGCCGGCGGCTGCTCTCGGCCGGCCCCCGGGGTCTGTCACTCTGGGGCCTGCTCGTCGGGGCAGGAGGCATGGCGTTGCGCGCCCCCGAGCTGGACGAGGCCCTGCCGCCGCTGATCAGCGTGTTCGCGTGGCCCGGCGATCCGAGCAGGGCCCAGATCCTCTGCGCGCTGACTGGAACTGAGGGTTCAGAAATCATTGAACACTAGCCTGACCGAAATGGGTCGAGCCGAAATGTCTCCAGACCGATCGTTTAGCTCGCGCTGGTTTGATGGCCCTTGTGTTTCGAGGCTGTCCTGGTCTCGATTCGAAAAGGTCGCCCTGGTCTCGATCGCTATCCTTGATCTTGGGCCCGGTTTCCCAGCCTTCGGCGATCCGTCAGCCCCGCCCGCTAAGATCCAGACAGCGTTCCCCCCGGGCCCCCTGGCGGCGCGCTCTGACTGGCTGCCTCGCGCCGGCCGGCCCCAAGGAGTTCTCGAAAGTGAGTTCGCGCCGATCGCTTCGGCTCGACATTGAATTGCACCCCCCGGGGGCCTCCGGAAATCCGAGCCCAAAGGCCCGAACCCTGATCTTGGCGCGGTTCCTGGAGAGCCTTCGGGCCCAGAAGCGACCCAGAGATCGGACCGTGGACCCCGGGCCCCCTGAGCCCTGGAAGTCGCCCTGAACGTCCTCCTTCTTTTTGATCTCTCGAGAGGGCCCGCCGAGAGCCTTGGGGCCCCCGGCGCCGATGAGACCGATGGCGATGTAAATGCCGATGACGGCGAAACCGCGCCTCGCCACAACGCGGATGGACCCGCCCTCCGCGATCTCAAGCGGGCCGGCCCCCGCCTTCAAGCGGAGCGAGTCGCTCTTCACGAGAGGGTGCGCCTCCAGCCCGCCCTGGGACGACATCGGCTCGGAATGCAGCGGGGCGACATGTAGGCCATGCGGCGCCCGGAGGGGAGCTCGGTCAAACTCAGCCCCTGGCCGAGGCGCTCGACGATCATGGCGCCCTTCTGCAGGTGGATCGCGCGGCCCAGGAAGTCCAGCAGGTTCACGCTCAGGATTCGAGGCACATCCTCGGCCAAAGTGTCGCCTCGATCACCCCGGAGACCCCGCCCAGCGTCGACGGAAAGAGGATTGGCGCGATCGGACCCGCCGCGCCGCCAACCCCTCGGGCTGGGCGCAGCGGCTTTCCAGCGCCGGCTGGGATCACTACGCGCGCCAAGCCGATCTTCGCCATCTCGCGAGCCCCCTGGTTCAGGGAGAGGCGGCACACCAGGTCGATGCTGGCGCCAGGGCCAACCAGCCCCTGTGATGGGCGGGTAGCGAAGTGGACCTCGCCCAAATGCTCGCGCACCTCCTTCAGCGCGCCCGGCATGTCCAGAGAGGGCTCCTCGTTCAGACAGGCGAAGGTGCAGGGCGCCAGCTGACGATCAACTCGAGCTCCACTGGCCTTCTTCCGACATTCCCGACCGAGACCAGTGGCCGCGCTCGTCACTGATGCGACACCGGGTGACCTTGATGACCTCCTCGATCGGCATGCCAGCGTACTTGGCCTTCCGTTGCGTCTGGCCACGCCCTTTGCCTTTTGCCCGGCCACCGCGGCCTCCGCCGCTGGCAAGTGGAGGAGGTGGGGCCCTGTCGCGAGCTCCCGGTAGTTGATCTGTGCCGCCCCCATGGAACTCGCGATCACGTTTGGCTGCCCGCTTCAGATCCTCGTTCTCTTTCCAGGTGCGCCGTTTCACTCATGCCAGAAATGTCTCAGCACCCTCTTCGTCTAGGTCCAGCTCCTCCAATTCAGCCAGCACCATCGAAATGTCCGCCGTTGACGAGAGATCGTCGGCATCCTCGCCCGAAGAGGCTTGCTCCAGGTTCCCATCGACGTCTTCCCTCTGGTCTGCCTCGGCCTGGCCTGGACCCGACGAGGAGGAAGGAAAGAAATGAGAGGGATCTGACAACAGCCTGCCGTCGGCCTCTGGGCCTTCGGTCGGAAACGAGGCGAGGATGCCAGACCTACTTGGAAGAAGGCGCTCAAAAGTGATGTAGTCGAGCTGGCTCAACGCCCAGCACACGCCATTGAACTGCAAGTCGCCGGGGGTCAAGGCGCGGAGGTTCTGCATCCCCTGCCCAGACAGTGACGCGCTTTCCTCCATCATGAAACCCTTCAGCTTGTCCGAAATCCACAAGTCGCCCCCCTCGCCCTCACAGAATTGGCGTTCACGACGGTCCAAGTAGGCCTGCAAGCTCTCCTGGAGCTCGCGGGTGCTCTCAAACAGCGCTCGGCGTCCACTGCGTAAAAGTGAAGCCACTCGATCATTGAAGTAGGAAGGCGCTTTGAATAGCCTTTCAATGACCGGTGGGTAATCAGGCTGATGTATCGGCGTGTGCACGCTTTGCTGTCCAACTCCGTCTCTCTCGGCGCGGTGCCTCCCGGCATGCGCACTTCGCTCCCGCAGCTGCTTGCTCGGTTCTCTTCTGTCGTGGCCCCAGCTCCGCACCGAGAGGAGACACACGTCGGGCGGGCCCAAGACCGGGATGGATCGCTCCAAAGCGTTCCAGTACGCCCACACAATGCTCCGCAACGCTCTGGAGCAGGGCGAGACCTAAACGTTGTCCTTTGTTTTGCTTTCGTTCTGTGTTTCCTTTTGCTTTTGCCGTGCGCCCGCCCGTGCCGTCTCCCCAATTAGTGTTTCGCGCGCCCCGCCTAGCTCTTAACCGGAAGAGGCCCGCTCTCGACCCGCCGACCAAACAAGTGCTTCCTTCTGCTATACCCGTTTTGTCCTGCACCTCCTGACGAACGAACAAAACACACCCATACCCATAAGGGGGTAGTTGGGAGGAGGACTGGCTATGGGTATGGGTGCGGGTTGTCGGACCCTAGGGAACGCTCCCGTTCGAGAGGGGATACCCATCCGACAACACGCACCCATAGCCCTTTCCGACCCCCCTATGGGTATGGGTGTGTGTGTTGTTGGTTCGTCACCTCCCTGCAGACGACAAACATAACACCGTTCTGCTCC